ATACCCCCCCTGCCCACCTCCACCTTCCTCCCCCATGAGGCCACCTGCCAGCTCCCTCCTCACCCCCCCTCCCTGGAAGCTGGGTCAGCCCGGGAGATCGGGGTGGTTCGGCCGCAGCTGCTCTGGCTGAGGTAGGGGGATGGGCTTGGGATTCCAGCAGGTCAGGGGCAGAGTAGGGGCAAGGTCTCAGGCAGAAGGGGTGGGGTTGGGGTGCTAGCCTCCCTGAAGGGGGGGGGGCACCCACTGGCCACGCCCCTCAAATATTCTGGCCACATTCTGTCTGTCGCTGGTGTCTAGTGTGGGTCACAGCTGTGAGTGCCAATATTAGGTCAGACTGTCCAAACTAGGCAGACACTCCCAGACTGGTGGTACATTCCTTAGTTAGATGTAACCAAACCAGCAATAAACATGTACTCCTGGCTCACGACACTAGCTCACCATGAAGCCACAGCCAGTCCACTGAGTGCTGCAGTCTCATTTACCACCCAGACACACTGGGCTACTGCAAGGAAAGGTTATTAAATCCCAAAATCACAGCACATTAAGTTCTTCCAACTCCACCAGGCCAAGGTATACCCCAGGTCTCACCAAAGAAAACATGGCCAGCCAATTCATTCAAGAAACTAACTAAAAATATATTATATAGGAAGCAGAAATGAGAGTTATTCAGAGGTTAAAGTGGGTAAAATATGTTTCAGGTGGATTGGAGTTTGTGAATCCCAAACGCTAGCAGGGATGTGGTATCAGCTAGTTTCCTATGAGTCTCTCTGGTCTGCCCAGATTTCCCTTGGGAAACTCCAATCCCTCTGAAACATATTTTACCCACTTTAACCTCTGAATAACTCTCATTTCTGCTTCCTATATAATATATTTTTTAGTTAGTTTCTTGAATGAATGCGTGGGTGATATCTTGCTCAATTTTATCCTACTCTTTCTACAGCAAGTTACAGTGGATCAGTAGATTTGATTTGGGAGAAATGAAGTAACAGCCGCCCAAACTGAGCTTGAGCCCTCCTGAATTTTGAGGTGTTCAAATCTGGAAGGCAGGTGCGGGGGTGGGGGGGGCCTGTGGCTCCGCAGGGGAGCACGGCAGCATGTATGCAGCAGCGTGTCTGGCGCTGCGCG